AACAATCAAGACATATTTTAACAGTTACTAAATAACCCCTACTCGTACAAATTTTCTTCTGAAGTCCTTTTGGGCCTCTGCATTTCTTTTCCTGCCCCCCCACCCAGTTAGTTGTGAAGCATAGAAAAACATTCTCCTTCAAAGGGTACTAATTTATGAAGATCCTATTAATGGGGCAAAGTACCCTTCTTTCCATTATTCATACATTATACCTGTGGCCCATGACAAGGTTTTCTATTTTTCCTTTAAGTCACTAATCACTATGATGTCATCTATTTTTGTACAGACACTAGACTTTCCCTTACAACACGTATTTGGCAACTAATGAATTATTTCTCTAATTTCTGGAGTCAAGTTTAAATCTGTTGTTGTTATAACTCCATTGGTGTTATTTGCAAGTTAAGAAGTATATTCTTAATCTGATCTTTGAAATAAATAATTAAAACATTAAATTCCCTAAGCCACACTCGGTAGGTCCTACCAGTTCCACCAATTGGTCTTCTTTGGGGACAGCTCTCCAACCAACCATACCGACTATATATCCACAGAATGAGAAGCTGACCCCCTAAACACATCAGCTGTGTTTAACTGCAAGCCCAGGACAGCCCTGCAGAAAAGCGGCAAATGCTCAATTGGCTTAACCTAAAAACTTCTTCCACCCATAGAATCAATTATAAAGGCAAGAGGAAAGTTTAACTCTTCAGATTTGACAAAGCAATCTAACAGATAAAACTTGCTTTGTTTTGTTAAACACTTTAATATTTTTGCCCTGCAGATTTGATTCATGGTATCACCATTACAAAACGAGGTTTTGCTATGGTTTTATGACTGGTACAACAAAGAACCCCATCTCTTCCATGACAAACAAAAGAACTTCTGCTTGTAAGGAGACCTTTGATCATATGAATTACCTTTACCTAGAGAACTGAAGGAGAGTCCAAATTCATTTTCAAAATAATATTAATTTATTCTGGCAAAAAATATCTTGAATCTGCCAAGTTGCTATATATGAGAGTACTCTAAAAAGTTTGTGGAAAAATGGAATTAAAAAATTATGCAAATCTTTCTATGAACTTTTTGAAGACCCTCATATTGGTTTGTAAGTGTAAATATATGTGAGAAACACTCTTTATAGGAATTTTTATTTTTTTTAAAGAAAGTGGGCTCTTTTTTTTTTTTTTCCTTTTAAATCAAAAGCATAACCAGAACAAGCTCTAATGACTCCAAAGTTTGGAAGAGAAGCTACTGTGTTCCCATAAGCAATGCCATCAGTCCTCTGAGATGGCATTTGTAGACCCCTTGAGTTCTTTATCCAAATGGCAGCTTCCTCAGTGGTGATGACAAGCTTGGGGCTTGCCAGCCATGTCATGCTCCTGGGAACACAAGTGAAGGGAAGTAGTTTGAGCAGGAAGGGAAGGCTTTTAACTCAAAAGTCATCTGAACATCTACACATATAACATTAGAATATTCTGTCCCAGTTAACCCAATTGCCAAAAGTATGCCAATCTCTGAGAAAAGATTTCTGTCCGAAAACAAACAAGCAAAGAAACCAAAACAAAAAAAGATAAATTGTGAAATTTTATTGGATTATTATATTACTATTCAATACTTTACTCCAAATTTAGGATACTGAGACCCTGCAAAAGCTTCTACCATGAAAGCTGTTTCACAGAAGGAATGAGCTTCATTTTATGAGATAGAAATCCAATTTTATTTATGCCCTAAAATTAAATAAAACCTGGTATATTTCCTTCCCTCGAACACATAACGAAGTTACATTGTGATTAATAATGGGTAAGACTGAGGGCCAAGAGAAGACTCTGTTTTTCTTTAAGAGACACAGCCCTCCACTCAGACTTTTGCCCTTCTCCAGGATCTCAGGCCTTCTTATAACGTTCAATGATTGAAAAGAAAAAAATAATGAGATATTTATTATAAAACAAAAGGAAATACAATAATGTTTCACAGTAAGGCTTCAATCAGACTCCTCCACGGCAAAGCCATTACAGAAATTAATTAATACTCAAATATCTGTTTATCAAAGAAATCATAAGTAAATAGATAAATACAAAGAATTTTTAATAAGAGTGAATAGTGAAGCTTTAAAATAGTTTTTGGATACGTACTAGGAAAGAACTGTTTTCTACTAATGATGCCACTAGCACTAATACACTATAAACTCCAGTGTGCCCCATGCCTCAGTTTCTCACTTCATTATTATAATCTACCTAGAAGATAAGTAACTCTAACAAAATATGTATTCTAGATAAAAGTATGCGCACATAAGAGATTTTAAACTGCTTAGATTAAAACTCTACTAAATTAAGAGTTAAGTACAACAAAGAACAAATTCAAAATAATTCAACATTAGCAGAATCCCACCAAATGGATTTGAGTAGGCAGTGAGTCAAAATACATCCACTAAAGAGTACACGTGCATTGTAAAAACCTAATATAACCCCGCTGACCTAAAGCATCGGTGATAGTCCACTAAATGTTCATGTTTATGCCCAACTATAAAATTATTCCTCTATGTCCAATTATTTGGTTTGGTCAATAAAATAAAAACTACAGATTTCACCCCCACCCCCCCACCCTCGGTATCTAATATAATATCTAAAGTAAAAAATTTAAATTTAAATAGAAGAATTTACATTTGAATCTAGTCATTTAAATGCCCAATTTGGCTTTAAAAAAAAATCTGGAATAATTCTGATGAAATTATTCTGGTAAATATATCTGTTAAAGCTTATTAATCTAAAATTAGCCATTATCTATATATGAGCCATAACATACATACAGAAGAGAAATGAGGTACAAAAAGGTACATATAGATATTTAAACACATGGTAGACTGACTCAAATCCCATTAGATGAATATAAGCCTTCAAGTAAAATTTTGCTTAAAACATGAGCATTAATCCTGTGCCTTGACACTGATGTTGTAGAGAAGCTCCATTATAAGTTTAGGCTGCAGGTAATGTTACATCAAGTACTGCAGCTGTTTTTAGAGAAAGTCTAGAAGAGTTTCTAAAAATTTTCAAGAAACTATTTACAATACCAGGAATTTTGTCCTTTTCCTGTAGCTTCATTTATCCAAACCAACTGTAATTTGCTTTCCATATATGTACATACACGTATGTAAAAATATACTCTCTCTATATGGAAATCCATTCACACACACAAAAAAATCAACTTTTACTAAGAGTTTAGTACGTTCAGACAGTGTTCTGGAAGCATCATCATATGTTATCTAATTTAATCATCACAGCCAGCCAATGAGGTGGGTACTATTATGCCTCATTTTAGAAATTAAAAATTTGTGGCACCAGAACTAATAACTTGCTCAGGTCTCACAGCCAGGAAGCAGCAAAGTCAGGATTTGAACCTGGCTCCAAAGCATATATTCTTAACAACTACGACAGTAGAATTGTTTTCCCATAAAATACAATGTCTCCCCATGAAAAGAAACCACTCCAGTTTTTCTTTCATGAAAATTACACATACCATATATAAATACTGGCAGAGGAGTCAGAAAGGACCGCTTGGTGACATAAATTTGTCTAAGGATATGGATAAATCAAAGGTCCTGACAGAGGCTGGGCAAACACTAATAGATCTCCAAATAGCAATGAAAATGGCAATAAGACAACTCTTGTCAACTTGGTGCTTATTTGATTATGTATTTCTATCAGCAAAAATAACCTTGCGTATGCACACCCAAGATGGAAAACTGTAGAAGGACCTAGCAAAGGACTTGGCACATAGCAGGTGGTCAAGAAATATTTGTTGAATGAATAAAGGGTATATCTTGAGACCTTCCAGTATCACTACTGGAATTACCCCACATATCCTCATATTCCTTTGCTAGGTCCTTGGAGATAATGGTGAGAGAACAAACACAACCCATACCCCAGGGAGCCCACCTCTTTATCTGCATCAATCAGCTACCACACGGCAAAGTGCAGCATATAGGATTCAGGCCTGGCTCACTGCTGGACTAGACTTGTGACTTCTCTTACCCATGGCCTTAAAATATAGGAAATACCCTTAGGTGCCCAGGAGAGTTTTAGTGTAACCCAGATTAAAGGAAAGAAATGGAGATCCCCTCTGATTGTGGTTTATGGCCCTATAATTCTGTTTACAAAAATCACACCCCTTTACCTAGGTAGTGCATTTAATCTTACCTGTGATCAAATTTAAGCAAACCTGTAACCTGTAACTAGAATTTATCAAGAAGCAGAAACTCCTAAGACCACCACCATCCAACTATAAAGCTAAAGTTCATGGGAAGAATACAGAAAAACAGCAATAATATAAGTTGTGTTCAGGAAAATACAGAGCAACATCTCTGTATTTCCAATGAAATTACGGGATCTGTAATCACCATTAGAAGCATCTATTAAACAGTTTAGCCTCATGCCTAGTATGTACCTATATATATATAGCGCTGTTTACACGCAGATTCCAAAGAGTTGGTATTGGGAATCCATTCGGGCTCCAGTTAACTCCCAAGGTGAGCACAAACATAATACGAATGTTCTACATGACACTGACATTTTTAAAGAGGACAACTTGCTGGTTACATTCTCTGCATGGTCTCATTTTTTCTAAGAGTTTCGGAGAGTTGGCAGCATGATATTCCTTGTCCTATGACCCTACCTATTGGGAAACAGGGCAGCAATGTCCCCTTCCCATGACAAGAAAAACTTGCCATGAGAAGTGGAGCCACAGCCCACAGCTGCTGGCTCCAGAGCCTGCCATGAAGAAACAGTCCTTTGCCCCTAGAAGCAAAGTGTTTCACCTCCATCCAGCCCACACCTCCGGGGACAGAGCAGAGAGGAGTGGCTCAGGACCTCAGGGAACCCAACCCCATCAGAGCAAGGCTTAGGAAAAAAGTGGGCAGCAAAACCCACCCAGGGAAACAGATAATACATAGTAAGGCACATTCTGAACTTGACATAGACAGGAGACATCTGAATTTTCTGGTGAAGACCTACCTTCAAATGAAGAATTCCCCACAACGGTCCACCCCAGAGGCAACTCCAGATGGGTCAGAGCCAGCACTAGCTCTTCATCCAGTGCAGGCAGTGCAGCCACCGTCAGGGCAAAGGGGGTCAGCAGGGTCTCGTGGCTGCAGGCTGTGAGGCGATGGGCCTGGGTGACCAGCAAGCGAGCCAGCCTGCAGGCCGTGTTGTCCACGTAGGCCACCGAGCCAGAGCCCATGGTCACTGGGGAGTAACCTTCCGAGCAGAGGCACACAGACACCAGCACCGTCTCCTGAAGCCCATGGCCTGGACGACAAGAAGTGGACCGGTCAGCTCGAGTCTGCAGGAGCTGTTCTCCCCACAGGCCAGCCCAGCTGCAGTGCCTAGCAGACACCCCCTCCAGGAGAGCAGGGCAGAAAGCAAAGCCGGCCCATTCTCGTCCAATGCTGCCACACCTGGGCCACGTTAAAGCTGACTGTGTCTTCTTTCAGTGAGTCCTGATTTTGCAATTAACCTTTACAAGCTCTGAGCAATGTAGTGTCTATTCTCTTGTCACTACCAAACACTGTCACTTGGCATACCTCACCCTTTACTTCTATCCCAACCCCTGAATTCAAATTTGTTGCCTTAAATACCTTTGCTCCTCTACACTCTGCCATTTCCTCCTGAGTCACATATTCCTGCATATTTAGGCTACAGTATCATGAGACAGCACCATCAAATTATATAAGTTCATCCTAATTCCACAGAGCTCCTTTGAATGTGAGTTAGGGTAGGTGAAGACTACTCCACAGAAATACGCACGCTCACACACACACACGTGTACATATATATGCGTACTAACGTCTATAAAAGAGAAACTAACATCTGTCTATATATAGATGTTGTTCAGTGCCCCTACACTTCTGATAATAGCTGCTCTGTCTTGTAGGCGTTCTCAATACTTCTCCTCTGGGTGGTCACCTAATCCTGCTCCCTGTCCCTTGTCACTCTCCTCTCCCTTCCCCCTACTCTCCCATTTTGCCAAGTTTGGTAAACTTCTGCCCAGGTACATTTTTATGCTGCCCTTAGCAAAATTTCCAGCAATTAGTAGCACCAAACCACTGTGATGATGATAATCATTGTTGAACAGGAGAAGAGTTAATTTTCAGCCTCCAGTGACCCATAGGGCCCTCTGACCCCCAAGCTAATGGCTAATGGGTACAAGTCATTCCTCCTTTGCCTTATTCTCCAAAGCCTTTCCCCAAAGGCTATGCTGCCAGGGCTTCAAGGAACAAGAACATGCTAAGTGCACTGAAAGAGGACTCCTGTCCTTCTCACATTGCCTCTTTAAAGTGGCCCAATGGGGCAGGCACAGAACGTACCTACCCCACCAGACCATACAGATCCAGTATATACTATAGAAATCTGTTTCACATACTTCTGAAAGATTATTCTGGGTAAGTTTTACCAGGGAAATTTATAGTTCAGAAGTAGAGATTGTCACCTGTCTCTAGGGAATCTGTCAAAATGAAGGTAAGAACCCTCACTTTTTAAGTAGGTCATAATATAATCAGAAAGATTTTCTTTAATACACAAGAAGAAGGAAGGACATTGCCCCTACATGCAAGTAAAGAAAAAGAGCAAAGAGTTTTGATGTTAAGAATGATGCTTTACTTATTATTTTTATTCTTTCTTTATAAGAGTCTTAATAAAGGAGAAACTAAGAAAATAGGGAAAAACCAAAGGCAGGAAAGACGAATGTAAATGACAGAGTAAAAAGGGAGAGGGAAAAGAGACCAACAGCCACAGTAACTACGTCCCATTAAGTTTGACTTTTTTTTCTTATGAGGATGGGGGTTACACAATCAGAGAGAGAAGTGCTTAAAATTGCCCACAGTCTCAGAAATTGGACAACAGATTAATCCAATGACCAAGACCAGGCAGGGCTGAAAGAAATCCACACTCCTCTACAATTTTAACTTTGTCTGTGTTGTTTGCATGTTTACTGCCTATCTGCTTTCCACATGTAGATTTACTATGGAAGCACTTAGGAACATGTTTTCTTTAAAAATAAGGCCAACCTTATCCATTAAAAAAATTGAAGTTTCCTTATGATACACCTTAAGAGGACCTAAAAAACCCACAGTTAAGAAAACCCAACCAATCAACAAACAAGAACCAAAAGACACTCTCCCTGTCCTGCAGGTAATGACCATTTAATACCACCTTTTCGCTAAAGCTTGATGTCTTTTAGATGCACAACCCACACACCAATGAATATACAAAACAACTCTATCTGAGAAGGGCTATTAGCTCATAACAGCACATTAACAGGAGAGACTAATTTGTCATGTCATCATGGAATTTGAAGAAGACAACTGGAAAATTAGAGGTTTCAAATATGAACATTTTGGTGGTAGGGAGAGAAAGTTTTGGAGCCTGAGATCCAGCAAGGAAGATTCTACGTAGACAGGGAACAAAGAAAGAACCCAGAGACCAAAAGGAGAAGGTAGGGTGGACCTGGGGCTGCCAGGCAGACCTCGGGGGGGTGAGGAAGAAGGAATGAAGACAAACTTGGTCAAAGTCAGTTCTGCCTGAGTCGACCCTGGCCATAGGCCCAGGGATCACAGGTGAAACAACATTCAGCGTTTCCTCCATTTGACTGCATCCAAAACACACCCAACCTTGAGAGTTGGGTGCAGCCAGCAGGTTGGGCCTGCCCAGTCTAAGTCAAGGCCCCTGATGGAGCTGCAGACACAGCTGGAAGAGCCTCAGACGTGAGAGAAGGCAGTGTGAGTGTTTCTCCTAATGTGCACGTGCGCACACACACACACACACACCCCTGACCTTCCAGTGCTGCTTTCTTTCTCCTCCCGATTCTCTTCCTGGCCAATATCCCTGGAGGAAAGATGCTTGCAGACAGATTTCCCAAAAGCACAACAAAGAGGACACCTTACCTGGAATGGTGGATTGGAGAACATTATCCTCAATCCGCTTTGCAATCACAACGTGTCTCTGATGAGATCCATCATAAATAAAGTAAAACTCAGCATCTTCAGGAAGATAGACATTTTTGCCAAACTTTGCATAGACCGTCATCTGCCCCTGAAAATGAATAAGTCGGGGCATCGTCATACTTCCGTGTTCTGGCTCTAAGAAACCACAATAAAAAGGGCTCGGGCCCAAAACCGTGTCACTTGTTATATTCATTTCACGTGCTTGAGCTCAAATATCAAGAATCCTTCTTTCCAACAACATTTTTGACATCAGGGAAGATACTTCCTGATATAGTCAGGTATGAATATCAGAGCTGGTTTGTTCTGTTTTTAAAGCTGAAGAAGTTCGGGGCACAGAGAAGACTCTTTTTTCTAATTTACTAGATGTGTGAGTGTGATACTTCATTGCCTTTTGCTTTGTTTGAATTTCTACCTGCCGAACATCATGGCTTGTATTAATTTTTATGCAGTACTTGACACTCCCAGGGCCGCACTCTCCCGAGTGCGCCACGGGCTTGGCCCATATGCAGTACTTGAAATACCACTATTAGTACAAAGATTCAAGAGAACTGTTCTTCGCTCTGGCCTCACCCTATACTGGAACACAGCAGGTTGTAAGAACCTTAAATACTCATAAACATTGCCAGATAAATGGGACTACTTGCTTCCTCACTTGCTGAGCCATTTCCATTTGCTACTTGTCTTCTCTGAGGGATTTCTTTTTTTTTTTTTTTTTTGTCTTTTGTCTTTTTTCCGTGTCCGGCAACGGATCGCAACCCTCAGTGTTGCCCCCGTACCGGACCGGGGACCGGCAACGGGATTGCAACCCTCGGCGTTGCTCCCGCACCTTGCTCAGCCAGTGAGCGGGAACCGGTCTGTATGTGGGATCCGAACCCTCGGGCGGGAGCCCCGCCGCGCTTCCCAAGCGGCACACTATCCAGTGCGCCACCGGGCCGGCCCGTTCTCTGAGGGATTTCTAAGTCCTCTTTCTCATCCGGCCTGGTCTCACACTGTCTCTTAAGAGCTTCTGGTTAGCACGAAGGCCTTCAAAGTGCCCTCATCCCTAGGAGAGGAGCTGCCACCATGGGTCACCGAGGCACACTCTGAGGACATATGTCAAAGGAAGTGGGCAGCAGACTAGTGCTCTCAAGTTTGTGGAGAGGCTGAATCAGCAGTGTTAGACCCAAGGGAGCAGCGGCGACAGACAAGCCTGCCAGATCTTCTTGGGAACCTGGCAGCTTCTAAGGATCCATGACACTCCCTACCCGAAACACAACAAGGCAGTACAAAGTGGGGCCTCCAGGGGAGGGTGCATTCCGCCCAGCCTGTGGGAGTGGCAGGGAATGGAGACCAGGAGGTGGAAAGGGTCACCCACTTTGGAGGGCCTCCAGAGCTCAGCCCAGTGTGGAGAAGCATCTGGACTTCTGTGTGCTTGCCCAACAAAAACAAACCCACTCTCCGAGATTTGCTCACCCTGTGATAGGCAGAAAAGAGAACAGAGAAAAATCTACAGTCTCTTTGACATGTTTGCCTTTGACAAATATCAGCATGACATTCCCTAGGATACTAAGAGTTAGGCAATCAGGATCAAAAACAAAATCAGCGCAAATCTCCTTTTCACAGTAGCCACACGGTTTTTCAATCTAAACATTTTTTAAATAAAAAAGCTCCGTTTTCCTAGTAGTTTGCAATCCATCACACACACACAGTTATCTGAAATTACGAATCGGTATAAATACAAATTGTGGAGTTCTGAAAAAAATCACCAGCTCACAATTTTGAACTGTCCTTTCTCTGCAAGTGAGCATATGTACACACACAAATGTAATCAATAGAAAGTAACCTGCCAAGAAAAATCCACCATACAATAGCTTCAAAAAAAGTTCAGGAAGGAGACCTGTAAAGCAAAAAACAATAACAAATGTCTGACATGACAGAGAGGAAACTTAGATGAAATTCCGTTTCCTAAAAAAGAAAGAACACTTTGCTTTAGTCATGTTCCTGGTTGCTCAGGGGACTATTAATTACCCACAGACAGAATCTGACCTGTCAGTGATGTTTTTAAATAAAAAACAAATTATATGAACAGATCAAACATTTTCACAGATCACAAGAATATCTAATCTACATCTATTCAAAACAATGATCATATTACTATTTTATTTGGGTGGGTGAACAAGGACTACAACTTATGAAAAAGTTTAATTGCTACCTTTTCCAATGCAATACAACCCCAACAGTACAGTCTTATAATTCATTATGCTTCCTTTTCAAGAACCATACCATGCCATACATTGGTAAAAGATACGCAATCATGTCAGAAATAAGACATTTTATTAAGGCAAGATGCCTAGGCATCTTAATACTAAGAATAATATTCAGCGATAAAAGGAATCTCTTATTGGGTAATGGCAAGCTGCCATGGATTGAATTGTAGCCCTCAAAGTCCAGGTATTGAAAACTTAACCCCCACTGTGACAGTGTTAAGAGAGTGGGAAATCCTATTATGGTAATTGAAAGATGGGGCCTTGGAGAGGTGATTAGATTGTGAGGACCATGCCACAGTGAATGGATTAATCCACTTGATGGTTTAATGGTGCTCATAGGCATGGTTCTGCAGGCTTGAAAAGAAGAGCCAATGGAGACGTTAGCCTCTCACTTGCTTCTGCCTTTCTCAGCATGTGACATCCTGCATCTCTGAAGTCACCACCAAACAAGGCCCTCACCATAAGTGTTCCTAGACTTTGGACTTCCCAGCCTCCAAACTACAAGCAATAAATATTGTTTCTTTACAGATTACCCAGTTTCAGGTATTTCTGTTATAAGCAACAGAAATGGACTAATACAAACATACCAGTAAAACCCAGTTAAAGATATTATGGGAGAAAGGAAGGGGGGATACAGAAACCAACAGAGAGACCCATTGAGATAGTAAGGGGTGCAGGAGAGGAAAACAGAGAAGGAAACTATGAAGATGAAAGAACAAGAACGTTTTCATTCAAAAAAGGTAAATAAAGCTGAAGGGAGACAGATTTAGGTAAAGCTGCTTAGGAGATCCATGGGAGGAAGGGGCTTCTGAGAGAATGTGCTGAAGAACGAGTGCAGCATAAATAATCGGCCACAAGTAACAAGTTTTGGCTCAGATTGGGGTCTTTCTAACCACTGTGGCCACTGAAATTCTGCTACTCTTCTTAAAAGGCCATTAATTTCATATATGGGAAAGATAAATTCTAGTTTGCAGAATTCCAGCATAAACCTCTTTCACTTTCCCATCTGAATTCAATTGCATTCTTTGCTTCAGGCAATTGAAAACTATAAACTTTCCTAAATACATTTGTTGGCATCAATATCAGAATCACTCTGCTTCCTTATAGAAGTAATAGCGACGTGTTATCATCTTTCTATGAACTTACTATATCCCAAATAAACACTCACACATTCCACTGAAACTTCTGGAAACAATAAGAGGCATGCTAGGCAAAAGTATCTCCCCAAACTAATCTATAAATTTAATGTACTCCAATGAAAACCTGAACTGAATTGTTTCAAATAAAACTCAACAAGCTTATTTTAAAGTCCATCTGGAAAAGTAAATACACAAGAACAGAAAGAAAAGTTTTGAGAGAGAATGATGTTTGAGCTGTGGGGGAGGGGTAAGTGCTTGCCCTACCACAAAGCAAAATGTACAGTAAAACCAGGGTAATTTAAACAGTGGACAGTGGCATAGAGACAGACCACTAAGTACAGAGTCCAGAGACAGACACATGTACCCATGGAAATTATGTAATAACAGCAGCATTTCAAATCAGCGGGGAATGAATGGGCTACTCAGTAAATGGTTTTGGAACAATAGGTACCCATTAGGGGCAAAAACATGCCTCCTAACAAATCATTAAATTCCCAATTAATTTAATATCTAACATAAAAATCCATAAGAGCATAAAATTAGAAGACTGTGTAAAAGTTTTTATTATTGAACAAAATCATAGCAATTAATCTAAATTTCACCTACACTGACACTACCCTAAAGTATCAACTTTTTTTCATTTTCCCTATTCCCTTCCAGTTTTTGTTTACATACACAGGTAATCATTACGCAGCTACACTCACAGCACAAATACACATACTGGTGTGCTTTCCTGTCTTCTATCAAAATTATCTTTCCATGTTGTTATGATCTTTGGTATCCTTTTTAATAGCATTCCACCTAGTACTTGATGTTCCATAATTCCACAACGACTTAAATATTCCTCTTCTGTTGTAAAGTTTACAGTTGACCCTTGAACAATATGGGTTTGAACTGCACAGGTCCACTTATATGTGGATTTTTTTCAATAAATACTATACAATATTATAAATGTATTTTCTCTTCCTTATGATTTTCTTAATAACATTTTCTTTTCTCTAGCTTACTTTATTGTAAAAATACAGTAAATAATACAATTAACATACAAAATATGTGTTAATCAACTGTTCGTGTAAGGCTTTCAGTCAACAGTAGACTATTAATAGTTAAGGTTTGGGAGAGTCAAAAGTTATACACGGATTTTCAACTGCAGCGGGAGAGATCTTGGTCCCTAACCCCCATATTGTTCAAGGGTCAACTGTATTTATAACTTTTTAACATATTAACAATACTGTAATAAACATTTTCATGTACATTTTCTATGCTTTAAGTAACTATTTTAGAATAAAATTTCAGAAATGAGTCCAAGAATGTAAACAAACTGTCACAAATTGCCAAACCAATTTCCAGAACTGTTGTACCAACTTTCATTGCCACAGGTACTGGTCAACAGTATCGTTTCCACCCAACCTTGCCAAAACTATCTTTTGTATTATTTCCTAGGTTAACAGATAAATAGTTCCTTGCTAATTTAATTCATTTTTTTTTCCATTGCTACTGAAATGTATTGCCCACGTTTATAAAAGTCTATTACTAAATGTTGCAAACATTGTTAGTGGCCAAATCAAATTGGAAGAATTCCAGTCTTCCCTCTTCTATTTCATGTCTGAATTCACCTATAACTTTGCCTTTGGCAGGTCGAGATTTTCACTTTTTCAGATGAACCAGTGAGTCAGTGTCAGAATCATTTCTTTTCCCTCTGAATAGTGAAGGTGTACCACCTCTTACCTACT